GCTGGAGCAGGAGGAGACGCCGCTGTGATCGCGGGTCGGCGGACGCTGGTTCCCTCCGACCCCAGAGAGGACGCGGCTAGGAGGCATGGACCTGGCCCCGGGCCGGCCCACACGTGACCACTGCTGGCCCGCAACCCCCGCTCAGGGAAGGGCCGGCCTGGATTGCAGCCAGCGCGAGCGTCCGCAGCTCCCGGCCGCTCTCCGCTGCTGCAGGATCCCCAGACATCTGCCAATGAGACCCACCCAGGCTCCCGCCGACCTCTGGCCCTGCCAAGGTCTGAGTGACTGGCAGGCGCTGTCCACCTGCCAGTCCTTGAACCGCCTGTCACAGGCAGCAGGTTCAACTGCTGGAGCTTCTCCCCTCGCCAGGCGCTGCCTGCACCCCACCCAGGTCTGCGGCCAGAACTATACCGCCTTACAGAGCTGCCCCCAGGCCAGGTGGGAGGGGGCTCACTGCTGCGGTTGTTCACCCACGCAGGGAGTTGAGCATGGAAGATCACAGACCCCTCCCAGTGTCTCAGGGACATGGCCTCGGGCAGAGCTCCTGTCCCCCGGAGCAAGACCACTGTCCAGGCTCATCGGGGTGGGCTAGGCCACTTACCCCAGCGTGTGCAGGGGGGCCACTGCAACATTCTCACCTACTGGAGTCCATTCCTGGAGGGGCTCCCACCCCTGAAACCAGGGTTTCGTTTGAGGAAGAAGTAGTGAAGGGTCAATGGGACGCAGACCCAGTGCCCTCCTGGAAGGCTTTCAGAAACAAGCCAGGCCCTCAGCTCTGTGTTCAGGAAGGCCAATGGTGTGTTTTGTGACTCTCCAAGGAGGCCCTGTGGAAAGCCATGGGCAGTGACACCTGGTCTGCACACAGGTCTGCTGGAAGGGCAGCTGCAGTCCCTGCACTAGCTTTACTGCTGGGGAAAACAGGCCGAGTCACTGGTTCACAGCAATACCACGTCAGGGTTTCTGCTGTGGGAAGCCCCTCACACACCGGGACCACCCTGCCCGTCGCCTGGTTGTGAGCTCAGCCTTACAGACCAAGTGCAGTGACACCTGGTCTTCTGCAATCCTTGGCACTTTGCAACCACGTAAACCCTTTCCCAGCACAGAATCCAGCCATTACTCACGCAACAGCCTTCCCGACTAGCAGTCCCACCAGACAGCTCCCAGGGCTCCCTCACTGCCCAACTCCCGCCAGTCACTGGCCTCCCAGTCTGTCCAGAGCAGGCGGGGTCCCACCACTGTGGCCCTGGCTCCCAGGCAGTCCCATCTGCCTGCAGCCATCTCTCAAGGAGCTCAGTCACCTTCCAAGTGCCTGCCCAGGTCGGAGCAGAGGAGGGCAGCCCCACCATCCCCAGCTGCCCTCAACGCTCTCCTGGACCGGGGGACTCTGACCTGCCTCCTGGCTGCAGGCAGTCCCAGTCACCTGCACTGGACACCTCGGAGGACCAAAGCCAGCAGGGGATGAAGGGCAGTCGTGTGTGGCAAGTTGGTCTTCAGCCCTGCTCCTCAGTCCCGGGCCTTCTGCAGTGGAGAGGCTTCTGTTGCTGGGAACGACGATTCCAGACCCGGAGCCTCCCTCAGAGACCCAGAGCACATCTGAGAACTCAGTCCATCGGCACAGTGTTACGACCTGCGTACTGTGGACACGTTTCATTGGGAACCCGCTGTCCCTGTCACTGTTGTAAACAGAATGTAAACAAAGTCTCATGAATGTATTTCCTTCGGAAAACTGTTGTCAAAGTTTTTATTAGTAAAGAATATTTATTTAATACTGAACTTTGGCCTTCTTTGTGGTCGACTATGGAGTACACAAATTTAGGAAATCATTCTCACTTTCTGTATTTTCTTGAAATAATTTTGTTCCAGTGTTCAATATACTGCTTTCTACTGCTCTACTGTGGTCAGGAATTCAAAGAATTTCATCAAGGCTCAAGTGCATTTTTAGTCACGACTGGTAGACAACATGTTGGTCTTGTGCATGTCACCTTCGTCAGACTGTAACTCTACACATGATGTGCCTTAAGTGCTGCTGGCCTGTCTGGGCAGGGAAGGCCACTGTCTACACCCTGCCGCCACTGCTTGACCAATCTCATTAAAAACATTTCAAGGCATTTGGGCTGTAAGCTCCATTTATAAATGAGAAATCATATCCAGGAAAACTTTGGGTTTCCTGTAGGGTGACAGCGCTCCGCAACCTCAGCAGCAGCACGGGTGTGCAGGTGTGTGCGTGCACACAGGCCCTTTCTGCTGGTGCGAAGCTCTTTGGGCACACGGCCAGGGCCCTGCCCTGCCAGCACAACCTGAGCACTGGAAATGGGCTCATCCTGTATGGAGATAGATGGATACCCAGAGGACATGGCTGCCGTGGAGGTCAGGGGTCAGGCCCTCAGCGTGGAAGGGTAGCCAGTGAGGGCAGAGGGCTGGGCTTGGGCAGTGAGGAGAGCATGCACGGCCCAGCAGGAGTTGAGATGCCCACGTTGCCCGAAGTGGGTGGGCATAGGCTAATCGTACGCCAGGACAGTGGGGTTGAGACCGGGTAGCCAGGAGCAGCTCTGCAGAGCCAAGGAGAGGCTGTTGGGGAGGCCGCAATGCGGTGGGCCCCAGGAGAGCTGTGTGCCCACCCTTGGGACGGTGGGTACCCTGTGGCTAGCCCAGGCGATCTCTAACAGGAATGAGGGCTAGGTGACATAGAGACCACTTTTCATTTCAATGGTTGAATTGTAAATGTTTACCACAGCAAGAAACGTGCATATCAAAGTCAAACCTAGAGACAGTCTGAGTCTCAGCCGTGAAGCTATAGCCAACTCAGAGCTGGTACGGGAAGTCAGGAGAGCTGGTCTCTTGCTAGCTCTCCGGGCTGCAGTGCAGCACTAGGCCAGGCCAGACCAGAGGTTGGCTGTCTCCTGTCTTGGGGCCCACATTCGAGACCAAGGCAGGCATCCCATGAAGCCTGCAGAGGTCCTCTCTGGCTTCTCATGCCAACCCCATCTCCACGAGGCCCCTTTCCCTGTGTCTGTCTGCCCATTTCCCCATGCCTTACGTGCACCCACTCCGTCTGACGAAGCGCGTCTGCAGTGCCCCATTTCCAAACAAAGCAGTGTTCCAGGAACTAGGGCAAAGACCTCAGCCCTCCACATGGAGGAGGGGGAGCTACGTGACTCCCTGGGCACCTCCGGCTCCTGTCAGGTGGCCCTGAGCCTCCTCCAGCTTCCCGCCACTCCTCGTGTTGGGCCCTGGCAGATGCCCGCCCAAGTATGGGTGGCTGAAAGCCGAGTGGCTGGTATGCCACCAGCTGCTGATCTGGACAGAGACCCCATGGCTTTGCTCAGTGTCCCGGGAAGTGGTTCCCACGTAGCTCACACTGTTCACAGGTGGGGAGGGGGACGGCATGCCCAGGTGGCAGCCATGACGTGCTGCAGTCTCAGACACGCCGAGCCACAAGGCACTTGTCCTCACTTCCTGGAACCCTCGGTCAAATCAAGAACCAGAGAGCCTTCCTATCTTCAGCGTAGTGCTGTCGACAGTGGCAGAGGGGTGGGGACACTGCATGGCCACACCAGCACAGGCCTTCACACAGGGCCCTTCCCCGAGTGACCCCCAGGACACGCTCCTCTCATGCCCTATGGCACATCCCACGTGTCCTGCCTCCCACATACTCTGCTGTGGCTCGGGGATGTGCAGTCTGGCTGCAGTGGGTCTCGAGAAAGCATCCCCAGTCGCCCAGTGACCACACTACCTCGCCAGAGCAGAACACCCGTGTGGGCAGGGCATGGCGGCAGAACTGCACAGTGAATGTTCCTCCCGGTGCCACTGCGGGGGTGACCGAGGACAGCACACTGCGCCAGAACTGCATGGCGAACGTTCCACCTGGTGCCACCGTGGGGGTGACAGGAGGGAAAGCCCCTTCGGCACATGCACCCACAGCTAGGGGAATGACGAATGCTCAGGTGCTGGGCCCTTGGTTACTCGGTGCACCCCTCAGGGTCATGGTGCTGCACCAGGCAGGGAGCTGGGCCCCGCGTGCTGCCACAGGGAGCCCCTTCCCTCAGAAGCAGGGCTCTGGTCTTGACTTAACCCACTTAGGTGCTGACGCCTTCAGGAGTCACGTGGAAGTGCTCTACGTCTTGCGAGGGTAAAATAAAAGCAGAGCAGCCCACTGCGGGCACAAGTGTCGGGGTGTTGCATGGACATGCCAGAGCCACGTGGAAGGACCCTGGGTGGGCCTGGACATGACAGGCACACGTGCAGCCACGCTCCTGGGAGGGCAGCCCAGAGCAAGAACCAGGCGCCCTCTGTGACTAGCATCATGTCTCTCAGCCTGAGGCCTCTGAGGACCAGGGCCGGAGGAAGCACCAAGGCCCCATGGCCAGGCTTGTTCTCCTCGATGTCGTCAGCGTGGATGTTTCACCAGATGAACGCAGAATGCGCCAACGTGCAAACAGGGCTGATTATAGGAGAGAATCGTAGAGATGTGTTCAAGATCTTAAACTGTACCCGGGTAGACACTCCTGGGTTGGCGTCACAAAGCCCACGCTGTGACCATGCTTGTCTGGCAGGCTCGACTGCCCTGGCCAGCTCCCAAGGCCAGGAGTACGCTTTCTGATGATGACGGTGACGATGAGGACAAGGACGAAGAGGGCGGAGGCAGCCTGCCAGGCCCTGCGGTCAGCCTGTCTGTGGAAAGGCCCTGGGGTAAGACCAGGGGCAGTGAGGCCCGGAGAGCAGGTTTGAGGTCCACCACTAGCACCCTGAAGGCAGCTTTGGGTTGTCTCTAGATCATGCCTGGTCAGGAGACCCAACTGAACCTTTTTGGGGAAGGCAGGGATGTCCCGTTCCTCAGCAGCGAGCGCAGTGCTGGGCACACGCCTCCCCCTCCGGACAGCCCTGCAACTCCCGACGAGCACGCGGTTGTGAGAGGCCTCCATGGGGAGTCTGCTCCCAGTGGCCTCTTACGACACAGAGAAACACCCAGAGGCACACCCGGGTGCCAGGGGACAGGCACGTGGGACTGAAGCCATGGACACAGACCCTGGTCAGGCCTCTGCTTTAATAGGCATGAGTGTGGGCATGAGGTCGCGGGGTACACCGCGGTGAGGGAAGGCGCAAGGCCACGAAGTACGCCCAGTGTGAGTGAGGCCGCGGGGCGCGCCCTTGGGCTACTTGAGCAGCTTCGCCACGTTCAGACTTGGCACCAGGATGTCCTTGAACAGGGGCACGTAGTCGGGGCTCGCCTGGGCCGGGCCCTGCTCCAGCGTCTCGATGATGGTCTGCTTCATGTCCCGGCTGGCATCACCCCGCACGGCCAGCAGCGCGCCGATGTGGTCGTCCCTGGTGGGAGGCAAGGTGCCAGCCTGCAGCGCTACCACCCCCAGGCAAGCGCAGGCTCATGCGGCAGGGCAGGTGGCCCCGTGGACAGAGGCCGCGTTCTGATTCCACGTGGGGAGGGGCCCATGTTCACCTCTCTGTGGTCTTTTCTCGATCCACAATGGAAAAGCTTTTAAAATCACATTGTTTTCTTAAACAGTCACCTAAAGGACTAACCGGGCAAGACCCACAGGCAAGGCCTGCTCTTCCACTCGGCGTTGGGGCAACAGGGAGCAGGGCGGTCAGCCTGGAGCGGAAGGCCGTAGATGGGCATCCCGAGGCCGGCAGCAGAACCGGAGGGGAGCGTGAGGGGAACCCTGCCCCTAGCTGGACCCTAGAAGGCCCAAGGCCACCAAGATGGGAGGATGTCCCACCTCAAGTCCACATGGACACCCGGAGACCAGCACCCTAACATGGCTTCTCAGTTGCTCCCACAGCCCAGCATGGCGGGCCGGCGACACGGCCACATCCTTGCCACTCAGCCAGGCACGCGTGGCCTAGGAGGCATGTGGACTTCGCCAGAACCATCAGCTGGCACGGCCGGCCACACGCTGCCTGGACGTCTGCTCTGCCGTGGCTATCAGCGCTCGGTCCTCCTCTCACAGTGCTGCCCGCTGCGACACCGTCTGCAGCACCCAGCTGGCAGGGTCCACTCCCTGACCGTGATCCCAAAAGCCAGGGGCCTCCCCCTGGATGGCTGTGGGAACGACCTGCTGCACCGCCCACCCGGCTCTGCAGGAAAGACGCGGCCGTACCTGATGTCTGGGTATTTGCTGACCAGGGTCGAGACTTCCAGGTAGAGCAGGGACGGGTCCGTCAGCTTGATGACTTCTGCCACGGCATCGATCGTGTCACAGTACCCATCCACGTCTTCGCCAGACCCCTAGCAAGGCCCGAGGAGCAGGTCGGCCCCCACACGGAGCAGGAGGCATCACTCTGGCACCTTCAGTCTGTGCTCTGCCAGCCCTTCCTCTTTCCCAAAAGTACCTCAAAATCTTCCCCAAGTGGGAGCTGACCTCAGGGCAGCCTCAAAGGGCCAGGAGCAGCAGTCCCGAGACTGGGCAGAGGGGGGACGTGGGGTGTGTGCCCCTGTAATTTATTGCCTCACCACCGAGCAGACACACCCTCCTATAGATGGACAGAACTAACCCAATACCAGGTCCTACCAGAGCCAATTCTTGTCCAAGGCCTAAAAGCACTGGCGTGAGGACTGAAAACAGGGCCGCACAAGAACACGTTTTTGTACACACACCCACCGGCTTACTCCTCCCTCCTCCTAGAGAGCGAGGCAGTACTTCCAACATGGTCCTCACACCACAGCCCCCCCGCCTCATCAGTTTGGAAAGGAACACACCTATCTGTGCCTGGGCACACTGCAGGCCACCAGAGAGAGCCACCTGGCCACACAGGACAGCAGTACCGCGGAGCAGGGACCCAGAAGCACTGCAGGGCACTGTGTCACCACCCACCCCACCCACGTGCAGCACGGCAGAGCAGGGAGACCCGCCCACGCGGTAGCACTGCAGAGTGGAGACCTGCCACGTGCAGCATGGCAGAGCAGGGACCCAGAACACTGCAGGGCGCTGCATGACCACCGAGCCGCCGGCTGGCCCGCACTGCAGACTTCAGAAGCTGCTCTCAGACACTCACGGATGCCAGCTTCCGGAACAGGAAGCGGAGCTGCTCGGCCTCCCTGACCATCTTCTCGGCACCCTCCTTGCGCTCCTCGGCACTTCGGAAGGAGATGCGCTTCTGCATGACGGCCCGCAGGTACTCCACCACCACACGCCGGTGTGCCTCGGCGATCATCCTCTGCAGAGAAGGCAGAGTCAGGGCAGCACCACTGGCCACCATGTCCATGTTCATCTCCCGTCCCGCTTGGCCACGCCTAACCTGGACTCACCCAAACTCAATGTTTTTTTTGAGCGAGAGTTTTGGTATAGGGCGTGTACACTCGTCAGAGAGACAGAAGGCGAGAAATCAAAGTAACTGGTGGCGAGGGGAGGGCATCTGGGCCAGCTGCAGCCTGGGATGGGCAGGCGCCCCTTGATGACCAGGAGATGAAGGCAGCTGGGAGCCCACTTTCTGACTGTCCAGTGTCCCGGGAAGAATGTTAACTGTAGGGGTGAGCGTCCAGCTCACCCAGCGCAGCTCCGACCTCGCGTCGGCCTGACAGGACTTCCGGCCGTGCCCTGGGTGCCTCGAGGCCATCTTGCTCCCCAGACTGCCCTGAGCATCTCAAGCTGGGCTTGTGGGACCGGGTCAGCTGATGGACTCAGAGAACCTGCCTTGCCCAGGACCATGCAGTGTCGCACAGTGACGGCAGCTTCGGGGAGAGGGCTCAGAGGGCAGTACCTGGGGAGGGTTCAGGGAACCTGAGCAGGCAGCGCACCACAGAGCACTGTGGGTAAGAGGCTGGGTGGACGATGCAGACAGGCTCTGGGCACTGGGCACCGTCACCACGGTCTGCTACATCAGGGCCACACCTGCCTGCTGGGGGTCTCCCAGAAGTCTGTTCACAAGGACGGTAGGGGAGCCTGAAGAGAGACTTCCTGGTACAAAACTAGACCCCCACACACCACTGGGCCCAGAGGATGGCTGGGGTGTCAAAGTGAGGGGGCCCAGCAGGCCTCAGCCAGACACCTGGGGAGCTGTGCTGACGGCCACCCAGCAGCGCCATGGCCGTTACAGCTGGGTCAGATCTGAGCGCATCTGACCACGCGGCCTGGAAGGGACAGTGCTTCTGGATGAAAGCACCCTCACTCCAGGCCCCAAGAGTTCCAAAGACTCTGTCCAGAGGTGAGCTCACCACCACAGTTACCAAGGACACGGACCCAGGACCAAGCCCTCCAGCTAATAAATCAACCCAAAACTGAAAAAAAAAGGTAAGGCAGATGTATAAGAAAAATTCAAAACTGACCAGGTAAGCGTGAAAAATGGCTGTTATCTTTTTTTTAATTGTTAGGGTGCTTATGTTCCTCAGAGAGAGACAGGGAAGCACCCCAATGGAGTGTGGCCACGTCACAATCCCCTCTCCAGCTCCGTCCTGCCAGGACCTGGGCAAGACACACACGCCTGGCGTAGTTTTCAAGCTGCCAGGGTGGGATCTGAACAGTGGGCAGTCATGTCAGATCTAGCTCCCTTAACTACCAGGCGACAGGGCCAGCCAACAACCGATTTTTTCCTTCTTTCTTTTTTGATAAGGGCATGGTGCTCACTGGAGAGAGGGGAAGTGAGAAAGTGCCCTCCATGCAGCACGGCCACACCACAACCCGCCTCGTCTCTCCTTCCTGCAGGGTTCTGGGCTGACACGTGCACGGACACACAGCAAGCTTTCCGGGAGGCTGAGTCCAAGACTCAGTGCACACTAGGCCACTGGGGTGCAGCTGCCTCACCCAGCACACCACCAGCTGGGCTGTGTAGCTTTTTATATTAAAAGTGAATCGCTGAAAAAACACAATTGATAAAGAAGTTTCAGACTAGGCTATATGATCAGCTGTTAATATGACTTTCACAACCTTGAGGTAAGGGAGAACTTCCTAGGAGCACAGCAGTGGAGGCTGCCCGGGCATGGAGGCACGGGACAGGGTGCCACAGTGCAGTGCAGACCGCCCAGGCATGGAGAAATGGGACGGGATGCTACTGTGCAGTGTGGGCCGCCCGGGCATGGAGGCACGGGACAGGGTGTTACAGTGCGGTGCAGGCTGCCCGGGCATGGAGGCGTGGTACGGGGTGCCATTGTGCAGTGTGGGCCACCCGGGAGGCCCAGGCTCGCCCTTGGCCCCACTCTGGCTGACTGGACCCGGGCACATGCACCTGTGGTCCTCCCGGGTGTGTGTGCGTGTGTTCTGGAAGTGAGCTCCCAGGTGTGTGTATGTGTGTTCTGAAAGTGAGCTCCTGGGTGTGTGTGCGTGTGTTCTGGAAGTGAGCTCCCGGGTGTGCGTGCATGTTTTCTGGAAGTGAGCTCCCGGGTGTGCGTGCGTGAGTTCTGGAAGTTAGCTCCCAGGTGTGCGTGCATGTTTTCTGGAAGTGAGCTCCTGGGTGTGCGTGCATGTGTTCTGGAAGTGAGCTCCCGGGTGTGTATGCGTGTTCTGGAAGTGAGCTCCCGGGTGTGCGTGCGTGAGTTCTGGAAGTGAGCTCCCAGGTGTGCATGCGTGTGTTCTGGACGTGAGCTGCCGGTTAGCTGTAGTGCTCAGCATCCTGTGCCCGTTGGCTGGGTGAAGTGTACCCCTGTAGTTCTGTGTGTTGAAGTCTAACTCAGTAGCCGGGAATGTGACCGTGGTTAGAACGTGTATCATTAAAGAAGTAATGAAGTCAGGGCCAGCAAGTAGCATAATGGTATGTCGCTGGACTCCCCCGTGGTTGACCATGGCTTGAGTCCTGGATCTGGGTGCTTGACACTCATGCCGGGTCCAGAACACACGCACACACACCCGGGAGCTCACTTCCAGAACATACGCATGCACACCCGGGAGCTCACTTCCAGAACACACGCACGCACACCCGGGAGCTCACTTCCAGAACACACTACGCACACCCGGGAGCTCACTTTCAGAACACATGCACGCACATACCTGGGAGCTCACTTTCAGAACACATGCACACACACACAAGATTACACGTGAGTGAAGAGACGCCCAGTACTGAACTACCAAAAACTCTGAAGGCACCTCAGAGAGAGATGCCCACGACTGCCGAGTGGGAAGCGCCCAACCCTTAGTAATGAGGAAAATGCCTCTAAAACCCTGCCAGAGAGCTGCAGATGCCCACAAACCGGGCATGCTGGTGAGGTGGGCGCCACTGCTGCTGCAGACAGCACGCACGCCTGCTCCACAGCATCCGTGTGTGGCACCCAAGCAGGGAACCCACACTTGCCCCAGCCTCCAGGCTGGACTGAGCTGACGAGGCAGCAGAGACACTCACAGGGCAACTCCACCCAGAAGCCCTCCATAAGAAGCACCCACAGGTAAACAACCATAAAGGAAGCTGGGAAGGGGTCACCCAGGAGCCACAGGAAGAAGGCTTGTGGCCGGACGTGGCGCCAGCATGGGCTACTTCTAGACCTGAGTACTAGCTCCTAAGTTCTCACCCCACAGCTACTCAGCAGACGAGACCTCCCCGATGGTCACACGCAGGAGTTAACTGAGCAGGGAACGGAGGGAGAGCCTGCCAACAGGACAGGAGAGGGGCCGGGTGAGTCCTGGGAGCCGAGTTAACTGAGCAGGGAACGGCAGGCGTGACCTGGACGTTCGTGAACCTGAACCATGTTCAGAAAACATCTCTGTGGGCTAGCCAATGGAATGGATAAGGCCGGCGGGTCCCATATGGCCAACTGTGTGGTTCGAGTCCCAGACCCGGTGGTTTGAAAAACATACTGGGTACATGTGCGCGCTCAAAATCCTGAGGAAACAAGGATGGAACAGAAGAGATTGTGGCATGAAAACATCCTACCAGGGATGCTTTCACTCTCCCTCTCTCTCTCTCTGTCTCGCTCCAGAAAGTGAACATGCTCTTTGGCAAATTCAAAATAAATAAATAGTAAAAAATCCCAGGCAGAAAACACCAGTTCCACACTTTACAGAGATTTTACCGAACTTTCAACAAACAGATGGTTCTACTCAGATGAAACCTGCCCCAGTTTAACAAGCAAAGCAGCCCCCACCGGCGCGCTCGGCCACGCGGACAGCTGAGCCCGGGAAAGGACAGGGAGCTGCAGGCTGTTTCCCACACACAGGGAAGAGGGCCCTGAGCAGAACGCTAGAGAGACTGCCAGCCACGCCCAGGCCAGCACAGCAGGGCCAGGTTCACGGAGTCCCTGAAACACAGGGAGGGTCTCCGTGTTTTCCCACTGTAACCAACTCAGAGAATGGACCCAGATGACCACTCAGGTGGGAAAAGCACTTATTAACACTCGCCAGATTGTGGCCCAAAGCACACCACTCCCAGACCCTCCGCCTCACCCCAACCCACCCCTGCCCCAGCACCTGCCCGCAGCAAGCAAGGACAGGACACTTTCTGCCCTGAGGGTCGGGAGCATTGACTTGCCAGAAGCCACAGCGAGCACCGTCCTTCCTGGAGCGAAGGCCCCCGACTCTGTCCTGTCGAATTGCAGGAGGGACCCTCAGGGCCCTACGTCTCACTATCTCATACAACAGACAGACAGAAAACACGCGTCCTCAGAGTGGGGGAGCAGAGGGCAGTGGCAAGTGCTACAGGACTCATGTTCGCTGCTGTGCAGACAGTGCCACTGCACTTGCCCCTGCAGAAAGTAGCCAGGCTGAGTCTGGCCGCGTGTGACCCTAACTCTTCTCTGCACCGACCCCGGTATAAACCGTCCCCTCGACACAAAGCCCAGAACTGGGGGGCAACTCCTAGTGCCCCAGGGCAGTCTCCACTGGGGAGCACCTGGGTTGGCCCACGTCCAAGCATGGAGCAGCTCTGGGGTGACCAAATGAGAACCCAGCACATGAGTTTTCACACACACAATGTACACACGTGCACACAGAGGTGCAAATGTACACACCCCATACAAATGTAGTATGACTTGTACATGCAACATGTATGTATGTACAGGTGCAGACAATGTATACATGTATACAACATAGACATAGCGATGCCACGAATGCACGTACATAGTATACACACCTTTCATGTGCAATATACAAAAACTGCACATATGCACATGATACACAGCCACATGGCACACACAGAGTCACATGGTACATATACACACAGTCACACAGCACACACATGCAGTTACACAGCACACACGTAGCCAAATGGCACACATACACACACCTACATGGCACACACAGCCACACACACAGCCACACAGCACGCACAGTCACATGGTACACATACACTCAGTCACGCAGCACACACACAGCCACACACACAAGGCACACAGACACACACGGCACACACACACAGCCACACAGCACATACAGTCACACAGTACACGTACAAAGTCACACGGCACATATACACAGCCACATAGCACGCACATAGCCACACGGCACACACACAGTCACATGGCACACATACACAGTGTGAGTCTCACGTCCCTGCTGTTGTAGGGGATCCTCACACGGCATACACACACAGTCACACAGCATACACACACAGTCACAAGGCACACACACACAGTCACACGGCACACACACACAGTCACACGGCACACACAGTCACACAGCACACACGCACACAGCCACATGGCACAAATACAGCCACATGCCTCACACAGAGTCATACGGCACACATACAATCACATGGCATACACACAACCACAAGGCACACACACACAGAGCCACATGGAACACACACAGCCACATGGCACACCACGTAGAATACAAACACTACATGCACACGAACATCATGTATGCATGTATAACATATGCATTCACGACCCATGCATGCATCACTCACACACGCATGCTCACACCAGAGGCACACAGCCCATCTTGGCTGGGGCAGGTGTGGCTCTTCGCTGAGCAGTGAGCATGCGCCTTCTTCCCCAGGGCCATGGCCTGGGTCATTTTCTCTGCAAGAACTCCATGTGTGTGGCGTGACATGGAGTGTCCCGGCTAACTCACCGCTGCTCCAAGAGTAACCTACACCAGAAGCCGACACTCGGAATGGCTGGCCTCGCTACGATGCCCGCTGCGGGCCTCAGTGGGCCGAGCGAGGAGGTAGCAATGCTGGACAGGGTGTGAGGAACCTCCCAGAACCCATGAGCCAATACACTGGGGCAGGCTGGTGCCAGATGCAGCAGCTTGGGAACCAGCGGGCCCTCCTCAGCACCAGCTGCGGCAGACTCACTCTGGAAGACCCGCCTAAAGTCAGCCTTCACTGAACTGAGCAGCTGGCAGGGGCTGGCAGGGTGTGGACGCAGCCCCACTAACCACTGGCGTGGCCTCCTGGCAGCTAAACCAGTTGGGCGATTTAAAGCACCTGGGTCTCCCTATAAGCATCAGTTTCAGTAGCAAAGCACTTCCTTTAAGATCAGGAATCAGACAAGAGCCACTGTTCTGGGGCCTGGCCAGTGTCAAGACAAGGAAGAGACCAAAGACAAACGACCAGGAATGAAAACCATACACGTCGTCCACAGACGAAACAAGTGTGAGCACTGGAACGTGGAAGAACCTAGAGACAGATGCCCCAGAAACCATCAGGAAGTTTTACATGATGTCAGACACAACACTGATCTATACCAACATTTCTGTAAGCCAGAAACAGGCAGCTAAGAAGCCCAACCCCAGAAAGACACTCACAGCAACAGCAGCAGCAAGACAAGGAGAGACCGCCCCCTTACCACAGTGGTGGAAGGGGCTGACGGGTGGGAGGCTCCATTCCCCAGCTGGCCAAGGGCCAAAAGCCTGGGTGAGGAGGGCAGGGACGGGGCCCCTCGGACCTTGCACTCTCCCACCCACAGCCCTGGCCCCCCGCAGGAGCCTCCGGTCTGCAGCCACGGTGAGGCTGAAGAGCACCGTCAGCCTTCACCCGTTTCTGGACCTCTGTGCTAGGCAGCCCACATGCAGGAAAAGCTCTGGCACGGAGGCCTGAAGACACGGTGAGGAGCTTCCGCAGGAGAAGAACGAACAGCTACGCACACACACCGTACTCACATGCACACAGCATGTGCACACTCAATACACACATCACACATGTACACCGCATGTCCATGTGTACACAGACACACCACGCACTGATGCTTGCAGACACATGTGGGACCATGTGCCACGTCCTTACCTTTTTATATGGCCTTTTGATCTTGGCAAAATCATTGAAGTAGTCTTCCACGGTGACACAGATGATGTCCACGGCGTTGGATCCCAAGAGCCACTTCTTGGTCATGAGCTCATTCAGGTGTTGCTGAGAAGCACACGCAGGGCACAGAATCACTCCCTGGAAAGACGTTCAGCATGGGCCCGCAGGGGGGGCCTCCCACCTGCCTCACATTGCACAGGTCTCTTGCTAATGGCAATGTATGCTCGCACAGGAACCCCACACGGGTACGTGCAGAACCCCATAGCACACAGTGTCACACTGAGTCACACCACATTTCTGTGTAGAAAACAGTTGACCTTCCTGATGGCCTGATGTGGGCAGGGCCAGGTGTGTACAGGCCTCACCCGTGGTTGCCGATGGGGACAGGCCTCACCCATGGCTGCCAATGGGGACAGGCCTCCCCTGTGGTTACCAATGGGCACCTCCTTACTCAACCCTCTACTGACAGACACTTACATTTTCCCACATCCTATAATCACAGATAAAGCTACAGTGAACTTGCTTATTTCTGCAGGAAAAATCCCTTACAGTGGAAATCCTCAGTCAGAAGCGTACAAACTACAAGTAGCAACCGTACACGTCTCTGTCTCCCAGGAGTCCCGGCTGGACAGTGCGTGAGGACCGTGTGTCATACAGAGCATTCCACAGCACAAAAAGCCAAGGCCCTTTTACGTGGCGTCATACAGGGGCGAGTGCATCCGCTCAGTGTCCACGCAGCACACAGCTCAAATGGAAACATGCCCACCTCCAGATCCAGGAAGACCTCCTCCAGCAGGTTACTGCAGCCCTCCTTCGCAATGGTGTCTAAAACCCCATCCATGTTTGGCTGGCTTAGTGACACACCCTCCTCCACTTCATTTTTCAAATACTTCCTCTTTAAACTGACTACAGATTCTCTGCAAGGAAATAAGTTAGAGCTTGATGAAGCACTGCACTTTTTTTTGGAGAGGTTTTCGCTATAGGGCGCGTGCGCTCACCAGACAGACAGAGAGAGACAGAGAGACAGAAAGCGAGAAATCACCCCCCGGGGGGATGGTCACACCGCAATCCCTTCTCCTCCATTCTCCTCTCGGGATCTTGGGCACGCACGCACACGCACTGGCGGGTCGTTTTAAGCCACCGGGTCCGGGACGCGAACCGCAGTCGACTACGTGGGAGTCCAGCGACACAGCCATTACGCTAACTGCTGGTTCCCAAGCACTGCACTTTTTTACCATCGTTTTTTTGTTTTGTTTTTTCGATTTTTGCTATAGGTATGTGTGCTCACCAGAGAGACAGAGGCAGAAAGAAAGTAAGAAATCATCCCCAGGGGGGATGGTCACGCCGCAATCCCTTCTCCTCCAGTCTCCTCTCGGGATCTTGGGCACACATGCCCTACATGAGTTTCAAGCTGCCGGGTCTGGGACTTGAACTGCGGTCAGCCATGTGGGAACCCAGCACCTTAACACTAGGCCACCTGCTGTCCTCTTCCCACCCGCTTGTGCCCAGACACAGGTGTACAGTGACCCACTTGAAAGTCTGGCAGTTGTTGATGACGGCGATCACGTACTGCACATAGCACTGCGGGTGCTGTCGGTTCCTCAGGTGCTCCTCCGCATACAGCCGGGCCTCGTCCCGGTACCTAGGATATACGGCCCATCAGACGTGCCCTTGGGGGGCCGAGGGCAGCTCCCAAATGCCATGTGGACACATCACCAACGTTTGACCAGATATGTCTTTTTTTTTTGAGAGAGGTTTTTGTTATAAGGCACGTGCGCTCACCAGAAAGACAGAGAGAGAGAGACAGAGAGAGAGAAATCACCCCCCGGGGGGTGACCATGCCTCAATCCCTTCTCCTCCATTCTGCTCTCCGCATCTTGGGCATGCCTGCACACGTACCCGGCGTGAGTTGAAGCCACTGGGTCCAGGACTTGAACCGTGGTCGACTACATGGGAGTCCAGCAACACAGCCATTACACTAACTGCTAGTCCCAGATCAGATATGTCTTTTTTTTTTTTTTTAAACAGTACTTTTACTGTTTGTTTTTTAAATGATGATTTATTTATTTATTCATTTACTTTAATTTGACCAGAGACAGAGAAAGAGAGAGAGGGAGAAAGTGAGAAAGCAAGCCACCAGGTCCAGAACTCGAACTGTGGTCAGCCATGTGGGAGTGTTCAGCACCTTAACCATCACGCCACCTGCTGGTCCCCGACCAGATATGTCTTTAAAAGTCAAATAAATTTTGGATGATCCATACCAATGGAAAAATACAAAGGCTGATCATTTCAAATAGATTTTGAAAAAAGAATTTCATTTCAAGCTTTGGAATATGATTTGGTATTCTGATTTTGAAAATATTCTGAAATACCTGATTGCAAGTAATTGGGAAAGCACTCTTACCCATCTGACACACAACCCTAGAACTCAGCAACAGTCAGTGCGAGGGCATTACCAACCGTCTGTTGTCCCTGGTCAATCAATCAGACTCTCAAAATGTCAAGGAAACAAGGGGGAGGGCGGCATGCTTCCCCTCTAGGCTGCTATGAGCTCCCCGAGCACACGGCAGTAAGCAGCAGCCGTCCCTGTGTGTCCAGGCTCTGCACCCACCACCCAACGCTGGAGACCAAACGCGGAAACGAGCTGTGGCTGCGCTATGGGCGTGCAGACCCTCCTCGTCATTGCTTCCTAGCCCCAGCGCCATGACCATGGCCCAGCAGTCCTGTACGGGGTAGCCACACCCAGGAACCCGGAGAGGGTTTGCGGCACTAAGCGGGGTCACAGGCGACACACGATGCCATGGTGTACAAGGGATGTGGGCATCCGTGGCTTTCCATATCTATGAAGTGTCCTGAAGGAGCCCCTTGAAGACACCGAGGGACAGCCAGACAATGACCACACTGCGCATGGAGAGGAATAAGGGGGAAGCTGGCAGCCAACAGGGAAGAAGGTTGAGCCTCCCTGTTCAGGTGGCAGGCAGCTGTGTGACCAGGAGGCTCCACCCTGGGAGACCGCCCCCCATGACACCGCTGACTCTGAGGACACGGCCACCTCTGCCAGCCCCCACAGTGAGCAGCAGAAGGGGACCTTGGTATGAACCCTGGGGGTGGGTGGCAGGTAGGAGCTGTGAGTGAGGTGCCTGAGAACCAGAGTGGCACAGATGGTTGCCACGTCTGCAAAGTGCCACGCCACGGAGCACATGCATTACAGAGACGGGAGCCTGGCGAGCCTTCGGAGCTCCCTGGAGGGTCGGGCTGAGGGACACTGGGAGGGTGCTGAGCACTGCGGGACAGGAGGCTGCCCACCTCACCGACAAGCAGGCACTTCAGACAAGAGGGGCTGTGTGCTGCGCTGGACCTGGGAGCCCTCGGGACACATGTATAGCAGCCCTGCTGGCCGCACCTGACACGTAACTGCAGAAGGTACACTTGGAACGGCTGGGACCCAACACAAACGCGGGGGTCCGGTGGCCCTATGGAGTCACCGTTCATCCTCACAGCTGCCGACAGAGCTAGGTCACAGCAGAGGACACAGGTGAAGTGCCACGAGGACTGGGAAGTGCTCTCAAGTACTTCAGCATCGACGAACATGGAGAGCAGTGTCAGGCTAGAGTGGCTCTGGAAGGGACAGCCTTTGAGCTGGGGGACAAGAGAACAGTTTTTAAGTCACTCTTCCTGCTTCTGTCACAGGGAGGAGGCATGTCGGGACATGCCACAGGACCCTCTGCCTGATGGCTGTCAGGGTGCTCGTGAGGCTGCTCCAGGCATCTGGGCCCATTCTGACACCAGCTGCACCAATGGGGCCCAGGGAGCGGTGCAGTTGCTCACAGGAAGGTTTAAGAAAAAGCTCTACTTTCAGGCCGGTAGACTGAGTCCTGGACCTGGCAGCTTACTTCCTCACTCCACCCCAACATCCCATGTCCTGTAGCAAATGTAAAGAGTAGGAACAATAATAATAAACTAATCCTAAAAAATAAAACAGGAAAGAAAATGTTCTACTCCATCATTTTGCATTTCTAAGAACAAAAGGTGACGTGTGGGGAAGTTGCTGACCCTGACTTATTTTTAATAACTGACACATTAAAATCAGCTAATTTTTCTTTTAAATTTCAAAAACATACAATTTCTAAATAAGCGCACTAGCAAAAGTCACATACCTACTCAGGAAAGAATTCATTTGCTGCAGACACAAAACCAGCACCTTTGTTTTCAGGTCTTCACTTATCTGGGCTGCGACTTGAAGATTCTGTTCAAACATCTAAAAATCAGAGAGCGTATGTATTCTGATGCAATCTCACAGAGCACAGTTGTGTTTCCTATTACATAGACCCCCATCTGCAAACTGGCAGTTAGGGATAGTCCAATTCAGAGGGAGGGAAAAAAAGCTACTTGAAAAATAGCCAGCCAGTTGAAAGAACAAACAACTTTGCCGCCTGGTAAAAGCCAGACGAACCCTTTCCTAATCACCAGCGATTGGACACGCTCACTCTGCACTCACTGGGGCTCTGGCAGGCTCCCCGCAATTCATGGTGCAGGTTTCTGAGGGACAGAGGCGGATGTGCGCGAGTGGAGAGCGGGCCTTGGGGGCTAACTCACAGGCATGAAGGGAAGGCAAAGACCCACCGGTCGCTAGCCACAGGGTCATCGGGGAGAAGCAGCGCCCACACGTCCTGCTCCTGCCTGGCTGGAGCAAGTGGAGTGCCGGACGCGTGCATCAACACTGCTCAGAACCCCCTCGGCAACACTGCGCAGAGGACGATGGGCGGGGAGACCAGAGGCCACAGTGGCCAGGGCACACGCTGTCCTAGGGCCTATCACTGAGGCTAGTGTCCAGAAGGGGGACTTCAGACCTGCTGGAGACCTGTCCCCGTAGTTCACCAACTTAGACCCATTGGACGGCATTCTAAGGCAGACCCTGGCCACTCACAAGCGCAGGAAACAGCAAACAAGCGAATTTGCCATCTGAAATCCTCTAAGGAGAACATACACTTGAGTTCTAGTTCAAACCCCCACACACTTGGAAAACAAAGTGTCCTGGACAAAACCAGATGGTGAGGGACCCACTGCTCCAGCACCCAGACAGCACCAGGTGAGGCGCCAGTACCCTCACGTCTCAGAAACGGCAGACGCACGGCCCAGACAGCCACGGGCGGTACCTGGGAGACGATGGCGGGCAGCGTGGTTTGGTAGTACCCGTCCTGGTCAGCCTCGGGCTCGGTCTCTCTGATCCAGTCTTTCTTGTCTGTTTCTAGAGCTTTCCGCAGCCAGGCAATGATGTTCGACTACAGGAGTTAGTGCCGTGGGGAAGGGAGGGGACCAGCACTTGAGTGTGGCAGACTGCAGAGGCCTGCTGTGCCACGGTGGCAGTGCCCATGCTAGTCTCCACAACTTTAAACTCTCTCGGGACACACAAGGGGGGTGGGCAAGACCTGCGAGTGAGCACGTGCCAGGGGCCGGGGGCAGCTATCAGCACAGCGCCAGCTCCCCAGACGGCATGGGCAGACAGCCTTGCTGCTGAGGCACACTCACTGGGAAGCAGACCCTGACCTCTGCCTGCTCCAAGACCACCTCCCGCTGGCGGGTACTGCCCCACGTGGCCTGGGCCTCCTGCGGTCCCACCAGCCTGTCAAGGACCCAGACACCAGCCTTGGAGAGGCAGCCCCAATCTGTGGGGTGGACACCTCTGGCCAGCAACTGGCCACTCTGCTCATCCAACTGGCAAATGACCTGCCAGGACCAGGAAGAGGCAAGCAGCTGACCCTAACCCACCCAGGGTGCAGGCATTAAGACCTTTCATCCACCAAGGCAGGCAAGCCCAGTTCAGACCACCACAGGCTGGCCTCGACTCACGGTGAGTGTCACCATGTACTTGTGGAGCAGCTCGGAGACCACGTCTGCAGACAGTAACGGTTCCAGGGTGTCGGCATCCACTTCTGGGGCCAGCTCCACGTTCCCCATCATCTCCGTACTGCACGGGGACAGAAACGGCAGTGACAAGTCACACACGATTCATAAGGAACCCCAAGTGTCGCTGCTTCTCCTGACACACATGTCCGTCCACCCTGGCATGCTTCCACACACAGGCCCCTAGCCGGAGGTCACAGAACGGGCCAGCTGCAGCGACCTGGGTAAGGGAGCCTGACACATGTGGCTATGCAGTTCGCTCCTAGACCCAGGGGCTTGGAAACACGCCAGTGCATGCCCAAATCCCCAAGAAGGGAGAGACGGAGAAGCCACTGTGGCGTGACCACCCCGTGGGGGCCCCTCCTGCTCTGGAAAGCACACGCACCCTCTGGCAGAATGAAAGTACGTAAATACAGCTGAAGGGAGAGGGCGCACAGGCGGCGGCCGGCTCTACCTCGTATAGGTGTTGAGGACCCACGTCAGGAGGCTCACGATCTCGTTGGCCTCCAGGTCTTCCGCCGCGAGGTCCTGCATGCGTGTGCGCAGGGCTTGGCAGTACATGTGCAACAGGTTGGTGAAGATCTCATAGTGGGGAGGGAAGCACTGGGCCATCAGGTTTTTGGCGATGATGAGGTCATCCAGGACGTACTTCCTTATAATCTCGAGGTGGCGGACCAGCCACATCTTGTCGGACTCCCTGGTGTCTGCCTGCGTGCCTTCGATTCTGGTGGTCACAGTTCTGTCTAAGATGGCAAACATTTTTTCTTTCCAGTTTTTGGGCCTCCCAGGTGGGACAAAGCCAGTTTGCTTTTTCCGATCAAGAATACGTCTGTCAATTTTTTCTTCCCTTTCAATAATCCTGACAACTGAGACCAACAAGGTGGGGTCACGGCGGACGGTGACCAGCGACCTCTGCAGCACCATCCACAGCTGCTTGGCCAGCTCGTCGGAAAGGCCCTGGGTGCTGCCAAAGTAGCCGTGGATGAGGGCCATGTCGCGGGTGTTCCCGCTGTCCATGCGGTACTGCTCATACATCAGCCCGTCCCGGGAGCACTCCAGGTCCATCAGCTTCCGGTGGGCTTGCAAGAGTGCCCCCTGTTCAATGAGGTCCTGCGTCTCCCTCACGATCTCGGGCACTAGGAAAGAGGCACAAGACGGCACCATGAGCCACACACAGGAGGCACGTGCGGGGTCCTGGGAGACGGTAGCACGTGAGGGGCCGACATATTTTCTCACCTCAAGGGCACGGCGCTGGCCTGATCTAACACACCACCTCAGAACTCTCAAGTCTAGTGGAGCCTTGCAACGTCCAGAGAAAGGCTTCGGTACGCTGGTCAGCGTGAGCCCCAGCCCCCTGCGGAGGCGGCAGTGCAGGCGACCCTGGAGCAGCCGGCAAGAACCCTGTCCTCCAAGTACCAGGGAACTGCACTCTGACCGCCACTGCCCATCACTGAGCAGCAGCAGGACGGCCACTGCTGCTGCACTCCCCACCTCCTCAGGACAGCCAGGGGACTGGACGCCCTCCACCGTTTCCTCTTTCCCCTTTCAAAAGTATGATGGGAACCAGCAGTTAGCATAGTGGCTATGTCGCTGGACTCCCAAGTAGTCGACCGTGGTTCGTGTCCCGGACCCGGTGGCTTAAAACTCACGCCAGGCACGTGTGCGTGCGTGCCCAAGATCCCGAGAGGAGAATGGAGAAGGGATTGCGGCGTGACCATCCCCCCTGGGGATGATTTCTCACTTTCTGTCTCTCTGTCTTTCTCTGTCTGTCTGGTGAGCACACGCACCCTATAGTGAAAACCTTTCAAAAAAAAAAGTATGACGTTTAAGAACAAGGACATTGGGAACCAGCAAATGGCATAATGCCTATTCCATTGGACTCCCTGATCTGGTGACTTAAAATTCACGCCGGGCGTGTGCGCACACATACCCAAGATCCTGAAATGAGAATGGAGAAGGGACTGCAGTGTGGCCACCCCCTGGGTGAATTCTCACTTTCTATCTCTCTGTTTCTGTCTCTCTGGCAACATCCCCGCAGAGCGACAGCTACAACAATGAAAAGCAAACCCCGGGTCAGCCTTGGGCCGTGGCAGGGATGCCACACCCCCCCCGG